ACCTCAGCCTCCCAAAGGCGCGGGATTACAGGCTGAGCCACCGAGCCTGGCTTGTTTCCACTTTTTGACTCTTATGATTAATGCTGCTAATGGTCATTTGTGTACAAGTTTTTATGATATTTTCACTTATCTTGGTATACATCTAGTTGTACAATTGCTGAATTTTATGGTAAATCTAGGCTTAACATTTTGAGGAACATTTAAACTGTTTCCCAAAATGACTGCGCCATTTTACATTCCCAGTAGCAGTGTATGAATGCTCCAGTTTCTCCACATCCTCACCAACACTTGTAATTGTCTTTTTTTTACTATAGCCATTCTAGTGGGTGTGGTTTTTATTTGCATTTTCCTAATGACTAATGGATGTTAAGTGTCTTTTTGTGTATTTATTAAGCCACTCATATCTCTTTGATAAACTGTCTATTCAAATTTTTTGCCCATTTTTTTTTTTGAGTTGGAGTCTCACTCTGTTGCCCAGGCTGGAGTGCAGTGGCATGCTCACGGCCACCGCAGCCTCAACTTGCTGGGCTCAGGTGATCCTTCTGCTTCAGCCTTCCAAGTAGCTAGAACTACAGGCACATGCCACCATACCCTGCTAATTTTTGGATTTATTGTAGAGATGAGGTCTCGCCAAGTTGCCCAGGCTGTTCTTGAACCTGTGGGCTCAGGCAATCCTCTCACCTCAGCCTCCCAAAGTGCTGGGATTATAGGCGTGAGCCACCATGCCTGGCTTTTGCCCATTTTCAAATTGGGTTATTTATCTTATTATCGAGTTGCAGGTTTTATTCTATATTCTGGATACAAGTCCTTTATCAGATGTATGATTTGCAGATGTTTTCTCCCAACCTGTAGTTTGTCTTTTCATTTTCTTATTGGTATCTTTGAAGGGAAACGTTTTTAATTTTGATACAGTCAATTTATTTATTAATTTTCTCTTTTAGGGGTCATACTTTGGGTGTCATATCTAAAAACACTTTGCCTAACCCAAGGTTACTTTTACTCATACATTTTACATTTACATTTTACTCATACATTTACTCCGATGCTTTCTTCTTGAAAGTTTATAGGTTTAAGCCTGAGCAACTTGGCGAGACCTCGTCCCTTCAGTAAATAAAAAAAATTAGCTGGTCATAGTGGTGCATGCCTGTAGTCCCAGCTACTTGGAAGGCTGAGGTAGAAGGTTCGCCTGAGCCCAGCAGGTTGAGGTTGTGTTGGCCGTGAGTGTGCCACTGCACTCTAACCTGGGCAACAGAGTGAGACTCCAACTCAAAAACAAAAAAGTTTATAGGTTTAGCTCTTAAATTTAGGTCTATGATTCATTTTGAGTTAATTTTTATGTATGGCTTGAGGTGAGAGTTTAACTCCATCTTTTTGCATGTCGATATCCAGTTGTTCTAGCACTATTTGTTTAAAAAGACTATCCTTTCCCTATTGAATTGCATTGGCACCTTTGTCAAAAATAAGTTGACTGTTGACCAGGCACGGTGGCTCACGCCTATAATCCCAGCACTTTGGGAGGCCAAGGTGAGGGGATTGCCTGAGTCCACAGGTTCGAGACCAGACTGGGG